TCCACAGGTGAACTATTGAGAGAAGTCACCATTGTAGGGTTAACTAAAAGGGTTTTATTAATGATTAAACGATGATCAAACGGTAATTCATCGATGACTGAATGAAAATGAAATGGTAATCAAATGGTGAATAAGCAATAATTGAATGGCAAACAGTGATTTAACAATAATTTAGACAGTGGTCAAACACTCTACTACTCCCTACACTTACTACACTCACTCCATCCCTATAGTTGCATATATAAGTGTCACTAGCACACAATACACTTTCAGGCTGAATATAAAATGCTGCTTATCTCACAGCAGCTACCAGATGCCAGGTAAAGGGTCTCTCAGCCTCGAGAAGTAGTCTTGAGAGAGGAGGCCAGCACAATGCAGGCCACCACTCTACGGGAGAGCTCAAGGGGCTCGGGGAGGCTGCCAGCACTCACAGCACAAAGCAATGGGACTCAAGCAGGGATCAAACCCCGCTTGGTGTTCATGCTGGTGGCAGTTGTGGCCAGTTTAGTTCTGCCTTTCTCTAACCCCAGCTCAGGCTGGTGGTATCTCCTGGTAAAACATGGCTTAAGCTCCTTGGTCACACTGTTCACCCAGCCAGAGAGGGAGAATCCATCACAGTACCACTTACAAACTTACAGCACACACATACGCTGCACTAATCTTTACTGAATTATTACTTAAGTGTTGTTGCCAGCACAGAACTTGCATTTAGTAGCCACTTACATTGAGATTTGCAAGAATATTTGTTAAAGAAAATGTGTTATTAAAAAGTAATTAATGAGGTTTACCCAGAAAAAAGAAATCTCACCTCTCTGAAATATCACATACACTGTTGGACATTTATCAGTGGGTTGTCAAACTGTTTTATAAAAAGGTTTTCAATTTAGATCTCATATGCTTCTAATATGAAAAGCAGTGATTTGAGTTCTTTCATTCTACTTCCTTACACCTTCCATACCTCTTGCATTTGAAAGATCAGTAATAAAAAAAGACCTGCTTGTCAACAGAGCAGTGTTACCTTACCTTGCACCAGGACTCCCATCCTAAACCCTGCACGCATCGATGTGGCACCTATGGAAGTACATCAGCAAGGCCTCAAGCAGAAATGTAACCAGGTGCAAAACAGAGCTGGAAAATTATCTAAACTACATATAAATTGCAGACTTCAAAATTTCTTGACTATGTACAATCCTCTTGAAGATGAAATGACACAAAATGGAATGTTTAATTAAAAAAAGCTAAATATTTATCCAAATTTTACTTCAATAGAAGAAATACATGAAAAATTCTAAAAAAGTTAGTTGTGGCCTTCATTAATGTAGTAGACTGCTAACAGTGAGACTTTGAGGCAACACTGACCAAATCAGACAGATCTGCAATACTGGGCAGATCAAACTCATTGCCCAAAGAATACAGACACCTCTTTGACCAAGAACTTCCACACAAGAAATTAACACGTCTCTTCTGTCAGCCAAGGATGTGACCTCCATCTGTGGAAGGCTCCAAAGTTTTCACAAAGCTTCACAGAAATTTACCTGTTCAGTTAAGATGAATGCTTCATGGTATCTAAAGCAAATAAAAACACTTAAAAACTATATATTGGTATAGATTCAAATATCTTTAAAGTTTTGTGGTGCTAAACATTATGTTTATCTAGGCAGATTTCTTTAAAAAAAAAAAAAATTGCTTTAACTTTTTTAAAAATTGCTTAAAGAAAGTGCACACCTGATAAACTCATGTTTGAATGAAAGCAGTTCCAAATTTAGGCTTAGCATTTTTTAACTGTTTGGTGTTCAGTTTTTGCCTTCAAAACATAAAATTTTGGTTTTGGAACATGTCCTGAAAAAAGTTCAGAAAACAGCTGATTTTTTTAGCTGCACATTTCCCTCTCCTCACCTTTTCACATGGCTTATCACAAGCTTGCAATTTTATAGTCCTGGCAGACACTCCTCACGCTTTTAAACAGGTGCTCAGACTACAGAGCAAACAGTCTCCGATGGACAACCTTATAGGAATCTAACAAAGTCTGGTAAGAAATGCATCCAACCATGACCTTGCAAGTCCATTTTCAACAACTGCAACTGGAGCATGTTAAAAATAAGGAGCTGCAAAACTCTTTAACGACCACAGGAAAAAAATCATTTCAGCTTCCTGCAAAACAGTGCCATAAAATTAAAATACTAAGGCATAAACAAATTTATAGGAGTGAGGAAAATACCTAGATAACTTATTTACAAAAAACTGTCCCCCAAGCCCAAAGGTTTGTTCCTAAACATTTTAATATATAAGCCACAAACTTTTCCCACGTTTTACTGTAAACTCGTTTCATAGGTAAAAGGAACATTACCATGGAATAGTAACATAATAGATACTGTGTGAAAATGAGAAAAAGATACAGACTTTCCCTACACAGTTTCAGAGTAAATCAGGGTGACTAGTTCCCCTATTACTGAAACAGGACTATCTAACATAAGCTGACAAATCTCTAAGGAAAAAAAAAAAAAAAAAAAGAAAAAAGATAAAGTAGAGTATATGTAAATAAATATTCTTCAAAGGTTTCTTTGAACAGGCAGAAGGGCAGTCTTTACATCATCATAAACGCTACTCAAGTCCTACACAGCATTTTAGGGACTTTTCAGGCTCCCCAAACAACTGAGTTTTCTTTCCATTAACCAAACCATTGCAATCACAAATACCCTTGGATTATAGCATGCAGATTCCCAAGTGATAACTCTATTCATTTTTACTCTAGGAACCATCTCACTCTGGTATTTCCCAAGCTGTTAATAATCACTTCAGGTGAAAAAGCACTTGTCCAGTACTTTCACTGCAGACAATAATCCAAACTAGTATGAAGAAAATTACTTCCTTTGGGAAGTATGCACGTTGGCAACAGTAATCCAACTATTTCAAGAATATTTTATCACAACACTAAAAAAAATATATATATATAAAAACACATGACCATTAATTAGCCAGTGTTAGTATTAGCAGCTACATCTGCCAACTATCATTAGCACCCAATTGTTAAAGTATTTCTTGTCTTGTGATAAAGTTAGCTCATGTTCCAAGACATGGAAGGACACTTCCAGTCGGAACACAGGTAACAGAGGAAATGCAAAGGGAGCTGCAGATCTCAGTAAGGGATGGCAAACAGAAAGCAGAGGAGACAGCAGAGCTCTCCAGAGCCATTTCATGTTGAGATGGCTAGCAAAAAGCTTCAAAGATCAGATAAAATCAACACCACAGACTGAAAACTTTTATTCCTGTATAACACAGAATTTTCCACTTCAAGTAGTTAATTGTTAGGGTTGCATCAATCTCAAGTTTGTTCTTAATATAAAGATCAGATAAAATCAACACCACAGACTGCAAAGTTTTATTCCTGTATAATACAGAACTTTCCACTTCAAGTAGTTATTTAGGGCTGCATCAATCTCAAGTTTGTTCTTAATAGACAATGTCATTCACCTCTCCCTCAGACATATTGCGTGATATTTTAGTGAGCAGAACAATTTAGGTCTTTCTGTTCCTAAGATGAAATAGGCTTTATTTTCAATAGCCTGAAAATCATTTCAACACATTAGCCCATTAGTGGAAGTATAAAACATTTAAACTCAAGGTGTGAAACAGTTCTTTAGATAACACCACAAGCACAGGGTCACGTAAAATCTTACCACTCCTTTACTTCAGGAGTTTTTACCTCACTAACTTCTGCCCAAGACTACTGATGACTAACAGTAGTCTACTAGGCATGCTGACAAGGAGGTGCAAAAGCTTCTTCTCATTAAGTCTTACAAACATTACCTACTGATTTCCAAGAAGTCTGTTAATTCCACCAACTTTCGCAGTTTTACAGCAAGCTCCGTTCACCTTTAGGACTGAGAGCCCACCTCCTTCCAAAGGACAAGGTTTTTAAGAACCCGAGTCCTCAACCCAACCCCAGTTCCTACCTCATTCACCATCCCATCAATCACGTGTATACAGATTCACTGAAAGCGAAAAGCAGTACAAGGAAAACCAAATTAAGCAGATCTTAGAAAAAAAAATGTAACGTTTTTGTTAAATGAAGCTGCCACCAAGTTCTCTGCCTTTAAGTTATCCTCATGACTAATGGCATGCCCCTCAGCTCACAAGACAGCACGATTTGAGCTTCCCTGATAAAACATCACTACAGCCAAGGACCATTTATTTCAGTTCATCAGCAGGTATTTTCACACTTTCACCTTGCAAGATTAGGTTCAGAGCAGGGGACACACAGGCTTGATTCACAACAGGAAAAACACTGCCCATCAGATTGCTCTTCCATACAGTCACCAGAGCTACAGTCAAAGATTAATCCCACCAGTAAACGAGAAAGAGGGAGGACACAATGACCCTCCATTAACCCCCCAATCTTCATTTCTTCCCTTTGAGCCAGTCATTTCTGTTTCTGTGGCTATAAACTGCTAAACTAATGAAAATCTCCTGAAGAAAAATCTGCTAGGTTCAAAGCTAGAATCAGTTAATCCTCTCCCTACAAACCAGTCACAGCAAGCATGTGAAAAACAGGTATCCCTCCTGAAGAAGCCTACACTGACCTAACTGAACAATGGTAATAAATTAATTGGTGAGCTATTTGGGTACTTTTTTTCCTGCCCAATCGATGGTTACATTTATCGTCAGATCAAAAAGAAACCCCACTGGAAAAGACCATCAGCCATTTTCTTAACAGTAGCAACTTACCAGGCACTTTCCTTCTGTCTGATGTTTGAAAGTGTGCTTGTATCTGCTGCTTCCATATTTACATGACGCTTGTTCTTCTATCCTAATGAAAAAATTCTATCCCTTTGGGCTACACAACCAATCCCCCACCCATTAACATGGACCATGTATAAGACGTTCAAGTTTTCAAGTTTCCATATTACAACAGTTGCAAGAAACAAAAAGCAGTTTCCGTAACAATTTAGGGAAAAACTAAATTTTAGTGCAGCTAAATTTCTATTAAAAATAACACTATGTCAACAGAAGTCTTTGTTTATTTCCAAGTGTTCAAACTGTTGTTACACGTATGTCATTTAACTATTTTTTATTTGAACATTAAGGTAATTACAGTTGGAGGGCTCATATTTCCAGTGGCCTCTCTGCAGTAGATACCACCAGAGCAAAACATGAAACATTCCACACAGTTAACAATATGACATTTGAGTTACCAGAATTACAATCATCCATTTTTTTTTGCTAACAGATCACATAAGTAGTACTTAACTGGGGCGTTTCCTTTAACAGAAATATCAAACTTAGTACTGCGTTTGCTTAATTTCAGTATGAACATCTCTACATAAGAGCAACATCATACATGACAGCTTGATTTATCACACATGTAGTACTTTGGCAGCTCTGTGATGTATTTTTCCTCCTAAACTCCATTGTTAAATTTAATTTATAAAACATATTGCTAATATGCCCTGCATAAACATGAAGAATCAAATGCATCTTTCACCACTTCAATGAGGAAGGAAGCAGTGTTTTTATCCCCTATTTATTACACAGCCTTTTCATACATGCACAATTTTCTTCCATGGACACTTCTGTACATACCCTAACTACCATTTTGTCTGCAAGAAAATAATCTTAAAAAAAATAAAAAATCAATTTTCTTCTCAAATTAGAAAGACTACAGCCATAGACAACTACATGACAAATCACTACCAACTATTTATTTCAAAGTAACATTGAATATGTCAAATTTTTATCAAGTAACAAGCACATCAGTCATCTGAGGTGCAATGAATTCCCTCACAATTCAGCTTATCCTATTTTGTGTTCATCTGTGAAACTGATTGGTTCAGTTAGCTAGTTAGTTCCCTTTTTTGTAGGACATTCATGCAGATCTTGAGATTGGCTCAGGTAAAATAGATGGTATTTTATCATTATTACAGGCAGAAATATAACTGGCAGATGGAAAACTATTTTTAAACACAAAAGATAAGTAAAATCAAACTGCCCCAAGTTTGATCAAGTAAAACGGGATAAACAGCTCCAGTAATTATCACCACGAATTCAGCAAGGGGGTTATCTATAAATAGGAACTAGTAGTTCTTGATTAACAAATACCAGTTTCTTCCAACACTTCTACCATCAGCTTCCACAAGAGAACTAATCACTATATTAAGACTTTTTCACTTACTCCCAAATGAACTAATTTAATTCTCCACCTTTCTGAACAGAATTATATCATACTCTGTACACACTTGCCATCCAACGACTTACTACCACAGTAATCTAAGTGAGGCCAATATTCCCTCTAATATAATCATGCACTTTAAAATAGCCACATTAAAGTTTTGAGGTAAAATAGGCGAAATCTGGTTGCAAAATTTCAGATTTAAAGCAAAAAAAATCTATACACATACGACAAATACAAACCACTGAGAATCTGTCAATAGTGATCTGAAGCAATTTATTTCGTTCACACTACTCTGAATTTTAGCAGATACTAAATATATATACTATTTGGTCCAAATATCCCTATTTGCCTCTGAGAGTCACTCAAAAAAGAATGTTGTGCCCAAAAATGCATCTGCTACCACAAAACGTATCTTCACCTTTTTATCCATGCTCAAGCAGATTTTCTGAGCTTTGTATACAAAAACAGATCTTAACTTTATTTGTACTACGTCAACAATGGTTAAGTTAAAAAGCAGGTGGAGGTATCTGCCACATTTAAATTAAATAGTATATATTTAATTTGATGAAGCCACCTTTCCTCACCCTTCAATACCTATTTGCATTGAATTATTAACTCTGCAGCACAGCAATAGCCTGTGTATGGCACTTCCATGCATGTCTGCAATATAAACAATTATATTAAGATTTTCCAAAATTAAGCAAATAGTAAATCCTGTTTATCTATACAAAATTTTAAAAATACATTAATTTTAACATCAAATGGGAAAATTACAGCTGAACGAATTCAGTTCTACATGGACTACATAGTCTTGAAATGTCAATTTTCATGAAGTTGCTTCATCTTCTTCCTTTGATTAACTGAATTAAGTCAGAAAATGAACTCTTCTCCAATTCCGCAGTAGTTACCATGTGTCAGCTAACTTTGATCTTTCACCATTAACTTGTGTACTGGAATGCCCCCTATCTCTCCAAGTTCTACTCAAATACTGTGTTTTCCCTTTTCCATTCCACTGTTTGTGACACCTAGCAAGAAGCCCTTCAACTGGGACAGCATCTACTCTAATAGAGCTTCCCATGGACAGAAGCCTCTCTTATGAGAACAGAACCATGGCTGACAAGTGAAGTGCACTAGTCGTGATCCCCTACGTACCAGCGCTCCACTAGAAGCGCTCAGTATCTTCTGTACAAAAGATAAAACCGCTGTGCACGTGGTAAGCCACACAAAGCAAGCCAAGTTGAGAGGTCTGGGCAGGCAGTGCGGGCAGGGCAGAAGCATCATAGCCAGACATTTTGGCTGAAGCAATTTTAACCCTGTTTGACTGTTAAGACCTGTGTTACAGCCTAGTTTAAGCATCATTGTTTACACAATCCTCTCAAACGAACAAAAGTCCTACAAGACAAGCTAACTGTTCTTTTCTATAGTGTAACTAGTTAGTATGTGTTCAAGAACAAATTTTATACAGAGCTTGAAAAGGGTACCTAACTAATAACCACATTTGGAGCTTTTAAATACTATCTCACTCTGAGGTATATGTCTATTACTGTAAAAGTTTAAGCATCACATTCTAAAATCTAGGGTCCAAGAAAAAGGCTAACTGTATTTTCTAAGTCAAGCAAGCTATAGAAAAATGGGAAGAAATATCACGTGGCTTGTGTTCAAGTGTTATTGTTTAGCATAACACTTCATGCAAGTAATGCAAAAAAGTCTATATACTCAGGACTGTTTACATCTGAATAAATAGGGTAAAATAGCAAATACAGTATTTAAAATTATCTACAAAAATGTGTTTTACCAAGTATTCACTGTTTGTATCAAGTCTTAAAGCAGAAAGCTGTGAGGGCAATTCCAAAGATCATGAAACAAAAGAAAAAATTAAATGGTGACAATTAAGAAAACTCCTCAGAATCCTATTAACTGTTATCTAAGCTGAAACCAACAAAAGACTAAAGCTATTAGGTGGCCTTATCAGCTAACACCTCCAATCAAAAGGCCATAAACAAGTAAGCTTTACATATTATTTGATTTGTTTATTTTACACCACGTGGTGAAAGCAACACACTTCCTTTTAGTAAAGTATACACAAATAGCCTCACTCAGAATACACTTTTAATGCACATAAAAAAAGTATTCATCTTACAAATTGTTTTGCAATCCAAATATACAATAGCTTGGAAAACAATATTTTAGAAAACAAAAGCCAATGTAAAAAGACCGCTTAAAACAACTAAAGTGATCAAAGTTTCAGTATGGCTCTGTCTTTACAGTTTTCTTACTGCATCATCAATATCAGAAATCTGTTCCTTCAGCTGGTTCCACTGTTCTGGATTTAAAGAAATACCTGAAATGCATTAAAAACAAACACTTCAGACAAAAAGAAAATTGTGATGCAAGACCTTGCATTATTACTATCAAAGCTCGTTTCATACATGAAGTCTATGTCACAATTATTAATGCTTGAGCTACTTCAACAACCACCCCAGTTACAAAGTGAAACCCCTCCTTTGGAACACTTCTGTTTAACTTCAGACTTCAGCTAATCTCCGTACAAGTCTGAATTACGAAGAAAAAGAGTACAGCGTCACAAATTCATTCACAAGTATTAGGCTAAACACAGGAAGTGAAATACAGCTCCGGCCTCGACTGAAGGCAACAAAAATGCCCTGAGTGAGATGTTGGAAATCATTCATATTCCCGTTGGCTCCTAAAAGCCACACCTCTGTGGACTGAGCTTCTATGCACTTTTAAAGTATCGTAATTATAGGGTTTTTTCCCTCCTGTTTTTGAAGGCACTATATCCGACACATACTGTGAGTAGTATTTTGGAGATACTCCATTCCACTCCCTAGCACTCACAAACCAACACACAAGTCATTTTTTCACTTCAAGTTCACTATAGTTTCTAGTGACAATCAATAATCATTCTGCGCCCCACAACCCATCTCCTCAGTTCTAGATTTGTACTTCCTGCAGCTCGAGTCCAGACACGTGTTTCCTTGGTGCTGTAGTCTCCTCATTCTTCCCCTACAATCTCTATGCCAACTCTACGCAAGTACAGACTCACAGGCCTACCTCTGATACTCTCTCCAGCCAGGCTATTCTACTATTTACCCCCACTCTCCCCCCTCAGAGATCAGGCTTCCTTCATTGCTTTCTACCTGCAGGTGGAACAGGACCTGAAAACAGGTGAAACTCTGAATTCCATTCTTGGGGCTCATCACTTTTTTCTCCTTCTACCTGTAGTCTTATCAGAGCACCATCATAATTTTAAGCAGCGAGCAGTCTGCATGGAGCAGTTTTCCACCAGTCTTTAGAGGGCAGGTTTCTTTTGAAAAGAGTTAGCTCAGGTCAGCTAACCATTATCAGGGGACCAAACATCAAGATGTCCTTGAAGCCCATACCAGAAGGATTGCATGCAGTTCAGATGTGCTGTTTGAAACAATCTCACACAATAACATAAACAGGTATGTTTTTCTTGGTTTCTATTACTCAATTTCAACTGCTTGTACTGGTTTTAGGACATTTAGATTAGGAGCTGTCCTAATCTATGGATCTAATGTCTATGTCCTAATCTATGGTCAATGGAACGTTCGACTCACACACTGTATCAGACTATTATCAATTTTATCCTAATAAAATTCAGACCCTTTGGCCACACTGATATTTCTATCTACATCGTGTAATTTTTGTCACTTAGTCCACTCTCCAAATCTCATTGCAGTTTGCTACTCAACCTGCATATACTTCTGACTGGCACTTGAAAACACAGCAGGTTAAAGTCCTTGGACGTTAGACTAATCTTTTTTGTTAAGTAGCAGCAACAAATCCAAACCAAGAAATTTTCCTGTATAGTGCCACTACACCTGTTCATACAAATCTATTCTCAGTGATCATGTATGAAATGTTGAAAATACTTCTCAAGCTTTCCAAATGTCTATTTACTGAGTTGTTCCTGGACATACCAAAAGAATGTAACAAACCTTACATACTGTAATGTAAGACTGTACATTAAATGTCTTCAATCTCCAGTGCAGAATGTTTCATACTTACCTCTTTCCTTGGTGCAATATGAAAACCAATTAAAAGCAGGCTTTTCTGACAGAAGCAACATGACATTAAGCAAAGCCCTACAACTGTCCTCACACCCTCATCTTGCAGGTGGCAAAGTTCTGATAATGGTTCAGTGAAGGCATGTCATAAAAAGCAGGTATGGGAGTGGCAATTAAAGGTACAACAGCTAATGCTGTGCTGCAGATTAGAAGCACAGTACCAACACTTGACCTCTTGACGTATTTTCACCTGAACTAAAATCTTGACATGCTTTTTCCAAAAATAGTTGCATTAAATGTTTGAATTATTTTAATCTAAAATGTGATAGAAAATGAAAGACATAGTAAAGAAATTAATATCTTATCACAAACGAGTAAGTTAAAATCTTTTCAGTGAATTTTGAAATAAGAAATCCAACTGTAATAGAAGAAAGAAATTGCATTGATTAAGTTAATTAATGGAGGAGGGGAGGAAAGTGTGGCTATGTTTACAACCCCCATACAAATTTGCTTGTATTAGATGCCTTCCTTTCCATAAATGGTGGAGGATGCATTTAGGCCAACAAACTCACTTTGCTTTTGTTTATAATCTACAGATAAAACTAATAATTTGTTAATATATAAATCATTAAAAGATTAAAATACTATTCTAAAAATATCAGGTAGCAAACAAGTATAAAAATCTGATACAGAAAGCTCTCCAGCAAACTGCAGACAATGTTTTAATACAAAATAACATGACAACAATACCTTTTCTGCCAGGCTTCATTTCACCTTCTTGATCCATCCAATATTCTCTAATATCAATTAAGACTTTTCCTTTAAAGTCACGAACACTGACATACCTCATTTTGCCAATCTGTCAAAACACATATAAGGGTTGTTTAGGTATTTTACATATTACAGCATTCACTTTTCCCTGTATCAGACTCAGACATGTGACACTGCACACACTGTGGCTTATTTTAGACACCACAGAAAAAACTAGATCAAAAGCTTAATCCAGACTAGTCAGTAGGCTAATAAGTAATGACAATATAAATGGATGAACGACTTAAACCGAATTGAGCATTCAATGCTCAGTGCAAAAGTAGCTCTCCTAGAATAAAAATACCTATATTCTTAACACACTTATTTCTTACAAAAGCCACTAATTTACTGCATTCTGAATAAAAAATTTGCATCCTATATAACTATCTTAGTTTGCAGCAGCTGTAAACAAACAGGGGAAGAGGGAGTTCTACTCCCAAATCTAAATTTTATTCCATTCCATACGTACAAAAAGCAAATTAGATAGCCACATGAGATAACCACAATTTCTAGAGCAGTTTTTATTTGGTTCTTTTTTTTTTTCTCTTTTTTAAAACACAGTAAATACAGATGGAAATGAAAATTAGCCACCAGCAGTTCCATGCCTGTTCCCAAGTCCTCATGGCACTTCATTGGAACTGTAGTTAAAGGACTGTCTCACTGCACCAGGTGTTCCAAACAAACACATGAATGCTTTAACTTCACCAGGACGTAGCACAGTATGAAATGCTGCTGGAGTTCCATTTCTGCACCACAGTGTCTTACCGGAATTCTGAGGGTGCTTTTTTTAGCAGGGGAGGTACGGAGGGTGTGCGGAATGGGATGGGGTGGAGATGACCCAATGAGATGCAATGGGGTTGAAGGGGAGTGGTCACACTGACAACTATGGATCATGCCACACATTTAGGCTCATTAAAGATCTTTCCACATTCAATAAAAAACTACTGTTCACATAAATTCAAGGTATAATGTGAATCTGAGAATCAGAAATTAGATAATAAAAAACACATTTTTTACAATTTATGTAAGAACTTCTTAGAATTCTGTATGCACCTTTTCAATACACTTTATGAAGAAAGAGCAGATTCTGAAGTAAAAGATTTTTAAATAGAATATTCCTTCCTGATAAAACGTTATCTTCAGTTCTCAACTTCCTATGTTTAGGCATCCTGCATTTTGGTGCAATTTAACATGGGCCCAAACACATCTTACTAGCATGAAGTCTGACTAGAAAGGTTGAAAATTTCTCCAATCAACCAAAATCAATGACAGATATTTAAGTCATAGCTGTTATTTCACCAAACAGAATTAATTTATAATAGGAGAAATTTAAACAAGAATACTTTATGTTTGCTTTAAGTAGTTTTTCCTTTTACGTAAATCATGCTAAATTAACTCTAAAATTGATTTAAAAAAAAAATTAGGACATCTCTAGATACTGTCAGTCTGATGCAGTTCTTTTCCTACTTCAAAGTGTTCTTTAAAATGAACAAGATATTACAGTTTATAAGATAGTATTTTTGACTATTTCTTAAATACTTTCACAGTACTACAAATTTAGCATTCAAAAATAAGTTCTGATGTCACGGTAGTTTAGTTCTTTCAGACCAAACTTCGTACCATGCCCAAGTCCATCAGCACTGCTGGCAAAGAATATCTGAAATAGCCTACATGAACAACATTTCTTGGTTTTACCCTTTAAAGCTTCAGTGACTTTTAAGGTCACCTCTAAGAATAGCTTCAAGTACTAATACTCTGCAACACCTTTTTTTTTTCCAGGGCTATCAAAGAATACCACTGTATCACCAAGTAATTCCAGGTTTTCTCTAAGAAATAAAATCTGATACAACATAACAGATTACAGCTGCAAATACAGTAAAAAGGTTTAGGATTTGAATTTTAAGGATAAGACTACATGTCTTAATCCAACTACAGTAAGGCAAGGACTAATAATGCAAAGTTCACATTTACTCAATGAGTAAGTCTATGGAAACAGTTCTGTATGAAAATGCTAAATTAAGTTAGGTTTTACATCACTGTCTAGACTTCAGCTGAATGTTCACATTAGACCTTGAATGTTTAGCTGAATTCTATGAAAAAGCTGCCACTGCTAAAGCTTTAAATAGACTTCCAAAGTACAGTTTCAATTAACATCTAAGGTTAAAAGCCTCAAACAAAATCCAGATTTAACTATTTATGTAAATTGATGTTCAGTTGCCTGCAATTCTGGCACAGAATCATCTCTGAACGATTCTTTTTTTAATACAGAAGCTGATAGTCCTAGAATAGTTTCACTAATACAAGACATCTTCGTATCTCCATAACCACAGTAGTCTTCCAAGGGTTGTGTTGATTTATAGCAGCGTAGTTACTTCAGTTCAACCTTCATACACAAGTTCATATACATTTTATTACATATTCCAGCTCTTTAGATTATAGTATTGTACTGAATTACATAAATTAGAAGACATTAAAAGCATTATTTCCAGGTTTCCGCTTCTTAGAATAAAAAGCACTGAACTGTGTCTCAGTTCCTTTCACAGTTATGCAACTGACTTCCTGCATGAGTTTCAGCAAGCACCTTCTTCACCATTTTTCCTCCTATTTCCAGTTTGTCTTGATTAAACTCTATACACACTGTGGAAGTAGAAACAGGAAAAAAAAAATCCTTCTTTCTTAGCTAATAACTCTATGTATAACATTAGATGGTGCACAATAGAGTCCTGTAGACAGTGAGATCTGCAACACAGCAAACAGATTGTGCAAAGCATCAACGACCACTGAAGTTTCAGAATTAATGTGCTAAACCAACCACCTTTCAAGAGCATCATAAACTTACATATTTTTCTTCTTTCAGAAGCTTATGCTACATAAAGACAATACACTGGGAAACCAAAGACCTTACTTAAGTGAAAAAGCAAATACAACTCACACTTTAAAAAAAAATCATAATAATAAAAAGGAGACGGGGGGCAGAGGGACAACACACAGATGGATGACTTTTGAAGTAACAATTTCAGTGAAATGCCTGATCATGCAATATGGTTCCATTCTGGGTGCATTAATTACTGCATCCTGACAGTGTTAACAAACCTTATCCAAACCAGGCATAGGTAGATGACAGGATTTGTCAAACTAACCAAAGTACATGATGCAGAGCTCACGTTGGCTTGAAGCCACAGACGGGGATCCAACGTATCAACACTAAACCCTTCCACATGAACATGAATAATGGCCTTAGGGCCTCTAGTAATACATTGCAAGTGGGAGTAGGATAAATTTCCGCACCCCAACTGAACCAAATGATTTAATTCCAAAGTATACTAGCCTACTTATAAAACCTAAAAAGGGCAAAACATGTAAATAAATAAAATACACTTGGTCCCATACTGAATTAGTTCCCTTCTACTTACATTTATAGTATTCTTCATCATTAGTTTCAAGAATACCATTACACCGACATGAGTCTCAAACAAAAATAATAAAATGTAGATCTTTTTCAAAATGCAGATTCTTCTGAATACAGCAGTCACAATGAGCTCTATATTAAGAGAAGCTGTATACTTTAAGAACACAGCCTGAGGGTGTAGAACAACAAGACTCTAAGTTTCACATAATTTGCTGCCACTCCCACACACAATATGGACACCACAGAACTTCTGACTATCCTATGAATGCTTTACAGCCTGATTTCCATGAATTGAAGCCACGCTTGTAAATTATACCGCAAAGTCACTTGCACACCACAAATCATTTTACTGCCATGGAAAATCAGAAATGAGAGTTTTTAGTATTACTAATAGTCCTAGAAAAAACGAAACCATACCTAAAAAATTAACACACAAAGAGATCTTCTAGCATGCTCTCCTGGGTATAGGGGAGAGAGGGGAAGTATCCGCAGACCTATGGTGCTATTTCTACATTGAAACCACTGCATCTTAGTTAACGCACGTAAGCTGATGCAGCATGAAAAAAACCTCACTTCACATAACACAATAAGCTATCTAAAAAAGATTTTGTTGTTGATTAACTGAAAGGCAGGCAGAGACTAAGTAACACTGATGTTTTAGGTCAAGGTGATATTCAAATATTTTTTCTGTATTATACTCAACACTGGAAGAATCTTGTTCTTATCAGACTAATAGGAATACTGTCTGTTTTTAGTAACTTTTTATTATCTTCGGTCAAAAAGGTTGAAAGAAACCAGAGCATGCAAATACTTTTGCTTTTACGTGGAACAGGTTTGGGGTTTTTTTGCACCAGGGGAGCAATAAAATTTTTAACCATTTTCCCCAAGACTGGGATTTCTGAACTTATTACAAACACAGCATAGAACTAAAAAAAAATAATTGTATATAAGCTTTAACTACATTTCACCTCCTTAGGTGTAGAATACACCATCTCATTTTTCCTACACAGTTCAAAGGATGCCCCAGGAGAATTAAAAATATTATATTTTTCCTTTGGTGGGAAGTCCAGCCATTGCCTTCAATTAAAGCTCTCCCTCCCAACTATACATGAAGACAAAAGTGTGAATTGGTACATTAAAAATAACTGCTCTGTACTACAGATCAGTTAAACAGGTCTTCTTTCTAGAATTTTTTTTTGACATATTACTTTGCACAGCTACAGCCCAAAATCATTTCTTTTCCCTTAGTCTGCGTCGGGGCCACCTTATTAGGCTTTCCCATACCCTTTCACAAGCTTAAGAATCAAAGTCTCTCTCAGAATTTAAGTTCCTTTCCAGCCAACTAGTCAGAGACATTTATTAAGTCTTGAGCCACACCCCTAAAAAAGCTAATTCTGAGCTACATATATTCTTGCACAGCTTTCAGCACACACTGCTACTGCCTCGGCTAAGCCCAGGAACTGCAATACCCTGAATTCACAAATGCATCTTGCTACTGAAAAACATATATCCATCCCCTTTTAAAAACAAGGACAAAGTAAAAAATTACAATCTTTTGGGGTGTTCAGTGAGAAAAACATCCATTGTAAAACAAAAGAACAACCAAAACTTATTCCAAGACACTGTTTTATAATACAGGAGCCAAGCTGCCCTTGACCTAGTTAAATAGGAATGAAGAGTCCATACTTTGGTTTCCAATAACCTTTCCTTCAAGAGCCCTGATTAAAAACATTTCCACGTAGACGTAGTCCTGATTGCATATTTACAATATACTCATGGTAAGTGCTATATTTACAGACAACATTACTACTCCAAGAGTTACCGTTAACAACTATATGAGGGTTAGATCAACTGCTACAACTCAGATTCTTTTACTCTGCGGAAACCTGACAATGCTTTTTCAGAGTATCTCATCTGCATGCTACTGTCGTAATCCCCTCTGGTGACGGCTTCAGGAGACCAAGCACCATGCTGTCAAGATATTCACACCACCTTGTAAAATTTACACTGAATGATGTAACGTGTTACCTTAAGCAGGCTCTAAGAGTCATCAATTTTACCTGAAACATATTCTCATCTCTGTTACTGCTTTGCTTAGAAGAAGCTGCGCCTTTTGAACTTTCACCGGTCTTTTGTTTCTTTACGGGCTTTTCTGGAGCTGCTTGCTTTTTCCTCTTTGCCTTGGAGGAAGAACATAAGAAGAAAAGCATGAATGACAACTCATTCTATAAACTACAAAATAGTTTACATTAGAGGTCACAAACTAATACTATGCAATGCACACTATGATCTTCCCTCTGAAAAGGCAGAAATCCAATACTGTACATTTAGACTGGAATTCAAAAAAATAAAAATCTTCAAATGAGCCTAACTATGTTCCCAGTGAAGTTTACCATAATACTTTGGCTTTAAAGAGAACTGAATTAGACTAAAATACATTTCAAAAAGTCTACTCTTTCTGTGCAATTCAGTAGCTTTAACAAAAAATGTGAAGTCTGATGGAAGCTTCACCTTTCCACCATGTGCAACAAAAAATGCAGACTAGCTTACAAACTTTTCTAAAAAAGAAAAAGTAATACATGAGATGATGAAGAAGGGATCTGGGAACCACCTCTGTCAGAGAAGATTTTTTTTAAAAAAAAATCAGCATCAAATCTCTGTCCATAGCACAATAAATTAAACCTGCTTTTAAAAGGTTCAGAGAGTATCGCCTGTAAACCAGATGATCTGCAGATGCTACAAAGTTACTATTTCTACTAAAGATTATATAGTAGCCATGTCTGCATAAAGATTGCAAAAATTAGGCTCACCTGCTAGAACCATTATCATGGATAACCTCTTTTAAAGAAGAATAGGTCCAATAAATACAGGAGATTATAACAGAAGAAAAAAAAAAGGCACCTTCCTGCCCACTAAAGCAGACTGTTAGACTATGTCTTTTCAGAAATACATTTCCCTATCAAAAAAAATCACCTCACCATTTTCTCTTATATTAAGATTTGACATGACAGAATAACTAATTTGCAAAGTGCAACCAAGTCATGTTTGAACACAGTAAAGCAGACCCAGTCCCTTCACATATCGCATTAAACGCCTGATGTCTGCGTTACCACCTAGCATGTCCTAAAAAGATACATTTGCTGTTTTTTTCCACTTTTTGTTCGTAATGACTGGTATATCCATAGAAACTTAGAAATTAAATAACTATAACAAATAAATGGGAACACTCAATTTATACATTTAAAACAGCCAAAATATGTTAAAATTAATCATCTCAAAGGCATTCAGGTCGGTTCACCTTTTAAGTGAGAAACTAGCAGGTTGTATTAGAGGCAATGTAAGAATCTGTAAAAAACAGAGACAAAGAAAATGCAAACAAGATAAGCAAGTGGCACATGGAGGATGGGACAGCTTGAGATTTTTGCTTTGGCCAAGTAATCCAGACACCAAAATGCTGGAGGGCTGGGGTGAGCTTGTCCTCAAAATTAGTCCAAATTCTTGCCACCAGGGGCATCTTATACAGAAGCCTTCTACCACTTGCCACAAAGAAGCAAAAAAATTCCAGGAGGGCTTGTGGTTAGAAATACATCATATGGGAAACCCTGAAGAGAGCAAAATGCAACTTAAGAAAAAAATGTTATTGCAAGGCAAAAACCATCCTATCCACCCAACGGGGGAGGCGGG